ACCCCAAACATGACCAGTAAATTTTTAATGATAAATTTCAAGTGAGAGGTACGGAAATTAAATACCCAACACAGGATTGGGCCAGGCATGTTCCTTGAACTCACTGATAATCAGGTGATACCTCCTGCCATCGGAACCTTCCCAAAGTGCATGGAATTACAAGGAAGCACCACAAAAATGCACTGTACATAAAATATTAAAAAGTAGAGAGGAAAAAAAAAAAAAAAAAGATGGGTCGTCAACCAATGTACTTGCACAAAGGCAAGGTCGATTAGAACGCCCATGGAACTAAGACAGTCTTACCTAGAGCCATCACACTCCCAAAATAGTTGGAATTTACAGAGGCAGTGAGCCACCACATCTGGGCGCGTACTAAAGTTAATTTTTTTTGCATTTAATGCATCCCACTGAAAAGTTTGTTTTTTGGTTTATTGTTTAATTTGGTTTGGTTTTGTTTTTGTTTGTGTTGAGACAGAGGTACTCACTCCATGTCACACCCAAGGCTGGAAGATGACAAGATGGCACAAAGTACTCAGAGGACTACATGAAACCACCCAGAGATTCATAGTGAATCCTCCCACTCAGCTCGCCCCAGTAGTAGGTACGAAGGCAAAACAAAACGACCGAGAACACAAACAGAAAATTGACCACAAGCGAATATTTTTTTTTAATTGAGAATGAGATACAGATAGAAAGTAGACTCAAACTCAATGGAGTAGCCAGGACTGGAGTGCAAGTGCAACATGCTCAAGATCACTGCACCTCCGCATCCGTGGACTAACAACGTGAAACACGTTCTCGATGACGCATGCCGCAGCCTCCTGAGTAGCTGGGACTACAGGTGTGTACCACCATGCCTGGCTAATTTTTCTTTTTGTATTTTAGTAGAGATGGGTTTCACCATATTGCCCAGGGTGGTCTTGAACTCCTGAGGTCAGGTGATCCACCTTCCTCGCCCTTCCAGAGTGCTGGGATTATAGGTGTGAGTCACTGCGCCCGGCTGCTAATGTTTGTATTTGTAGTAGAGACTGGGTTTCACCATGTTGGTCAAGCTAGTATTGAGCTTCTAACCTCAGGTGACCCACCCGCCTCAGCCTCCCAAAGTGCTAGGGTTACAGGCGTGAGCCACCGCACCCAGCCATAATTTTTATTTTGAGATGGAGTCTCACTCTGTCACCCAGGCTGGAGTGCCACCCAGGCTGGAGTGCAGTGATGCAATTTTGGCTCATCACAACTTCCGCCTCCCAGGTTCAAGCAGTTCTCCTGCCTCGGCCTCCCAAGTAGCTGGGATTACAGGCACGCACCACCACGCCCGGTTAATTTTTATATTTTTGGTAGAGATGGGGTTTCATCATGTTGGCCAGGCAGGTCTTGAACTCCTGACCTCAAGTGATCCTCCCACCTTGGCCTCTCAAAGTGCTGGGATTGCAGATGTGAGCCACCATGCCCAGCCTGAAAAAGTTTAAATAAATAAATAAATAAATAAAAATTTGAGGGAAGTGTTCAATATTTACATAATTTTCCATTGGTGCCACATATTTTAAATGTACTTGGATCTTGAACTGTTATTTTAAAATATTATTTTTAGGGCCAGATTTCTGTTGTTATTTTTACTTAACTGGCTTCCCGAGCTTTGGTCATGAAACTGGGAGCCTTTGTTAGACAATTGTTTCCTGTGGTATGCATGAAGGGCTGTCTCTCCACATGAGAAGCAAGTCTACGGAAAATTTCCATAATTTGGAAGGTTGATCCTTACGACGTTTCTTGGGCCATCATTTAGAACCTTCATGAACCATTTAAGGGGTTCATGCTCTTTCACTCTGCACGGCATTTCTCACTTTAAGGAATCCCTGTCTTCTGGCTGCTCCTAAATTGCGGCTGCTTCCAGAGATAACTGTCTCTCTTTTCTAGGCTCTCCCCAGGGCCATCCAAAGTTAATTTTAGGGTTGGCCAGGCACGCTGGCTCACACCTGTAATCCCAGCATTTTGGGAGGCCGATGTGGGCAGATGGGCTGAGCTCAGAAGTTCCAGACCAGCCTGGGCAACGTGGCAAAACCCCGTCTTTACTAAATATACAAAAATTAGCAGGGCATGGTGGCGAGGGTGCCTTTAGTCCTAACTACTTCAGCTACTTGGGAGACTGAGGAGGAAGGATGGCTCCAGCCCGGGGAAGTCAAGGATGCAGTAAGCCAAGATCGCTCCACTGCACTCTAACCTAGGTGACAGAGCAAGACCCTGTCTCAAAAGAAGAAAAAAAATTGTTTAAAGGTTGCCATATGCTCTATATTTTAAGTCAGACTACCCCAAACAAACCTCCCAAATTTGGTGAAAATCAATCCAACCATTTTTAGTCATTTGGTAATAGAAAAAGATAGAAACTTAATTTATAAATTTACCTTTCTTAATAAATAAGAGTATAAAATTTAGTTCCTTAACAACAACAGAAGAACAAAAGACAAAAGACAACAAGAGAGATCATCCTGCAAACAGCATAAGTTAACAAGATGAAAGGCAGAAGCAGAAATGTCTATTGCAACCGTGTGAGAAATGATCAGCCCCTATAAAGGACTGTAGTTCTGGGCCAGGTGCGGTAGGTGGCTCACACCTGTAATCTCAGCACTTTGGGAGGCTGAGGTGGGTGGACCACTTGAGGCCAGGAGTTCATGACCAGCATGTCCAACATGGTGAAACTCCGTCTCTACAAAAAATACAAAATTAGCCGGATGTGGTGGCAGGCACCTGTAATAGCACCACTGCCCAGCCTGGGCAACAGAGGGAGACTCTCTGGGCAACAGAGGGAGACTCTGTCTCAAAAAAAAAAAAAAAAAAGGAAGGACTGTAGTTCTGATAGGTTTGGAAAGAGGAATGATACAGACCAGGCAAGTTAAGATTTATTAGATATGAAAAGGAAGGAGAGGCAAGAGAAATGTTAAACATCAGCTAGCTGTGCTGGGCACTGACTAGGCCCTTCGTCTATATAAACACTTTTCCTTTTCTTCCTTTTCTTTTTTTTTTGGGGAGAGTCTTGCTTGACACCCAGGCTGG